TAATTCCCAGCTTGTGGAGACGTCAAAAATAGCTATACATTAGAACAATAAACTTAAATAGTTTGTTACGTATAAAACTTAAAGCAACCACTTTCTTTATACAAAAAGAACTTGCCTTTAGTCGAAATATTTTGTATATTTGAGAATGATTATATTAGTAGTTATTTAATATCTTTGAACAAATTCTCTCTTCATTTCGGAAATTTTTGCTGTGTTCATTGATAAGTTTACTATTTCTCCGTTTTGTTTGACGTTTACATCAAACCCTTTAAAATAAGATATAACTAAACAGCATTTACCGAATTTTAAAGCTGCTACCCGTTTTAACATCCAGTCACTAACGGTGCTTGTATTTCCTCTGAGTACTTTTCTTGCAGTAAAATATTTTTATTATATATGTACAAGATGAAAGAAACACCCATGACAATATGCCTCCATGATCGGGCTAGACTACGAGAAGCACGTGACGGAGGCATGGAAGTAGGGCTTAACCACGTACTTCACATTTATTGGTCGGGTCTACGATGAAAGCCAGGGGACCCCGATGGGCTCCCCGATGTCTGGCTGTCTCGCGGAGGCGGTCCTGCAAGAACTAGCAGCGTGAATCTTTCAGTCGTGTTTGTCCGATAAACCAAAACTGTGGATATACTACGTAGGCGACACATTTGTTGTTCTACGCCGAGACGCGAAGGAGCCCCTTAGAAATGCAATTTACAATGGGATAGAAAAGGACGGGAAAATTCATGTTCTGGATGTCCAGTTCTCGCGGACAAGAACACGGAACGCTACACACAGCGGTGTCTTTCGAAAAGCGATCAATACAGCAACCATCACCGCGATTGCGTCCGAACTGTCTTTCTACGCATCAACACCTACTGCAGCACACAGGTCAAGAAGCTGCGAGAGCGTGACTCCTTAGGGCAATATATCCTCTGAAATGGATACTCGCGGAGCTTCATAAACAAATGTTTGTATCAAAGCACACCAAGACTGACGAGGAGCATAAATAAAAACCCGACATCCTCCTTACCCCGCCCTGCCCTACACGAGAGACGT